TTGGGCCAGCTCAATGTAAATACAGACAAGAGCCAATGGGCTGCAGAGTGTCACATGGGCCGGCCCGGTCTGTGTGTCAGGGGAAAAAAGCATCTTACTTCAGAGAGTCACAGATCACAGCATCGTCAATTAATAAGGCAGAAAAAAAACGATAGGCTGTTAAGCCTTTTATGGGCCGATCAGATCATAAGACGATGATCAGCCCGGCCCAAAAAGTACGTCGGCCCAGCGGGAAAGTGCCCGGTCTGCCAGAAGGCCAGTCCGCCCCTGGATCAACCCAATTTAATTAGCCTTTAGGTTTGCAATACCATTACAAAGTTGGGTTAAAACTTCCCAGCAACAGTAGATATAGATATTCACACAAGTTATTAGATATAGAAAGCACTTTATTGGCTGAAAGGAAACTGACTGCTACTGTCATATAAACTGACTCATTCCATGATATAAGATTTGGGTCATCGCCCACCCGTGGTGGGTGGATTGCAGAGGGTATTTGGCTTTTGGATAATGGAAAAAGGACTGACTTTTATGACTGTGTGTGGTGTTTTATTCGGCTCCTTGCCAAATCTTTTTGCAGGGAGACAGTATAATATCTGACAGCCATTAATCACGCAGCGCTCCTGGGATTTAAATGGCTCAATTTCCTCTTGATCTATATCTCTTTTCAGCAACGATAATATCAGCCCTGCAGACAGCAGTGATCTCTCTGTCACTCACACACACACACACACTCGCACACACACCTGGGTCACTGCGAGGTGTGTGTGATCGTATATTACCTGAGGAATGTGCCGTGATAACATTATTTCCTGTATGATAAATCACTCAGCTCAACCTGAAGCCTTTATAGACTCGCTAAACTCCAGATTGCGGATCTCAAGCTCTCCAGTGCTTTCAATCTGTAGATTCGTCAGCTTGAGTTCAAGAGAGTCTGCAGAACTAGACACAAATGAGATCTTAATATTAGGACAATGAGGTTAGACAGAGAAAAAGCAGATGCCGCTGCAATTTGTGCAACTGTCTGTCTTTTTTTTTCTGCTTCTTTTATGCAGAATATGATTTTGAAGAATGTTGTTGTTCAGCCAGTATTGGATGCCACCGACTTTCATTGTATGGATGGATGATCGCTATGCTGAGACATTATTTTGAAATATATTCTTCTGTATACCACAAAGAAATAAGTCTTGCAGCTTTAAAAAGAATAAGAAAATAATATTTATTTAATAAAACTGATTTTTTCAGTCATTTAGAATTTGACAGGAAGGCATTGAGAATAGATTTTATAAACATTTTAAACATTATATACAGTTGAAGTCAAAATTATTAGCCCCCCTGTTTATTTTTATTTTTTATTTTTATTTCTGTTTAATGGAGAGATTTTCTCAACACATTTCTAAACATGATAGTTTTGAAAATTCATTTCTAATAACTGATTTATTTCATCTTTGCCATGATGACAGAAAATAATATTTGACTAGATATTTTCCAAGACACTTCTGTACAGCTTAAAGTGACATTTAAAGGCTTAACTAGGTTAATTAGTTCAACTAGGCAGGTTAAGGTAATTAGGCAAATTGGTTTGTTCTGTAGACAGTCAAAAAATATATAGCTTAAAGGGGCTAATAATGTTAATCTTAAAATGTTTTTAATAATAAAAACTGCTTTTATTCTAGCCAAATAAAACAAATAAGACTTTCAACAGCAGAAAAATATTATCAGACATACTGTGAAATAAAAAAAGAAAAAAAATGAGGGGAACTAATAATTCTGACTTCAACTGTGTGTGTATGTATATATGCACGCACACACGCACACAGTTATTTTAATTTTAAATATTAAAAAAACAAGATTATAAAATATTGTGCATTTCAGCTTGGTATGCGTGTCTGTAAAACATGGATATAAACGTATTTTAACTATTATTTAAGGTCTGAAAAAAAAAAAAAAAAAAAAAAAAAAAAATATATATATATATAT